AAATCACACGTTTAAATAAAATCATGAAGAAATCTGATATTTTTTATTATTGTGTTTAAGTCTAAGGGACGAAACTAACGATTTGAATTGAAGAGGACATAACGAAGATTTAAACAACTTTTGCTCTTGAACGAGAGAGACTTTTATTTTAGCTTGACGTCATGACGTCACGGGGACGGTGCGTGCTGCGTGCTGCGTGCGCTGAGGAAAGGTTTGTGGTTTCTGGCGCTTCAGTGTTTCGTGTGTTTAAACGAAATTAAACGTTAAAGGTGTTTTGAAGTTTTGTCAAATGTGCTGTTAATAACACGGAATATTACTGAAGCAGTTTTGCCTTAATGTGTAGTGGATGTGGTTAATCGCGGACTGTGTTACTGTAATGGTTTGAGGCCTGTTGACGTCAAGAATGAAGCGAATCTTTAACGAATGTGCGCTTAATCTACACAGCAGCGTTTATTATTAAGATCAGTCTTTACACTCTCTATCCTTGTGGCACTATATATATAGTTTTATTCTGCAAGTGAAGCATTGAATTGCATTTTTGGATGTGACTCCAACCTGTCATCGTGTATAGTTCATATTATACCACATAATAAAAAATAATATATTCTGTTGTACTTAACCCCTTAACTGTCAGCCCCATTTTTTAACATAGACGTGAAAGTGCACTATCCAAACTTAAATTTGTAATACAGACCTAAGGTTGGACTCTTTTTAACGAAGACAATCAGCAGATTATTGCAGAAGTGGAATCATTTCAAAACATGAAAGTATCAAAAAGTTATAGAAGTTTAAATCTACTTTAAAGAAAATACACTACTATTTTTTAAATTTTATTTAAAATAAATATTTTTCACAACAGGTTTTACTCTGAAATTGCTGTAAAATTAAAGCCTTGTGTCTAAAGTTATGTTCCAAATTTGAAGTTGATACAAAAAAAATTGAGGTTCCTGTGAGATTTAAAAAAAAAAATTTTTATGCACTTTTCTGTCACAAATGTTTAAATTTCTCTGTGAATAGGGCCTTTCGCACCGCTTTAGTTCCAGAACTAAATGTACAGTACTAAAGTACTGGGACGATTTTGCGCGAACTATTTCCCAGTACCATTTAAAGGGTTGTTTTCATATGCGTTTGGCCAATCAATGTCTACTTGCGTCGCGATTAGTACCAGTTGTGCTGGTTAGACCCTGCTCCGGAGTAGGAGCTAATTTGGTTCTAGAAAAAGGTAGTCCGGTACTAAAATCGCACCCAGTTCCGGCGGTGCGAAAACGCCAAAAAGTGGGTAGTTCCACAATTAGTTCTGGTACTATGAAAAGGTTCCCGCGGTGCGAAAGGCCCTAATATTACAAAATAACCACCAAATATTGAATCTTAAGACCTTTTGGATGATATGTATTTTGTCAAGATTATAAAAAGTTTTGATTGTAAAATATATTTTGTAATGTGACACTCGACACCGCCCACTTAGGGGGAGGAGACTGCAAAAAAAGTTTAAAGTACCGTTTCCATGGTTACGCAATATCCGATTTCTAAATTGATATATATAATATAAATATGTGACGGGGAAAAAACACAACGAAAAAAGTGCACCGGTGGGACTGTGAAATTTAAAGGGTTAAAATGCTGAAGACAGATGTTAGAAGCATTAAAGCTTTTGCATTGTGATGATTTTTCATTCCAGTTACGTGTCTGTCCTTTTAATTATAATGGATTTGCGATAAAAAGACAAAAGTCAGTGTTTAACACAGTTGAATAAAACTCATTGTAATTTTGCAGTATTACTAAAAGATGCACTGATTGTTTTCTTTTGTCAGATCTGGATCTGGATTGACGTCTCCAGTGAAGCTCCTCCCACAGCTGGGAGCGAATCAGGCGTTTACAGCTGAAGAGGCCAACAGGCAGAAATCACTGCAAACTACTGAAAGGATGGAGTTTGTCCGAGTAGTGATTGGGGACGTGAGTGATCCAGAACCATTCAAGATATTAAAGGATGACCCCGAGGAGCAAAAAGGTTGGTCCCCGATTGTGTTACTCATTTATATAAATCATATATGTAATATTATGCTGTCTGTTGATGTTGCACCATATTAGAATAACATGCCTACATACATAAAAGCTGTGTCCCAATTTGATGTGCTATACACTATGTAGTCAACCATCTAGTGTAGGAGGGTTGAAAGGTTAATTTGCCATCCAGCGTCTCTTTGGCTGCATAAGGAAAGTGCATGTGATTGCATGAAGTTTTTTCCAACTAATTAAGTGCGTCATACAGGTATTTTAACCCATTTAATCCCACCGGTCACAATAAAGAAGGTTTTCACTTATAAAGCTCTAAAAATGTCACTGACTGGTGTTTTAGTGCATTTCCTGCAAATATGGAAAAATAAAGGGTCTCAATTAAATATGTGCAGTGTCACATGATCAGAACAGTGTACTTCCTGTTTGCGCCGTGAGAAGATGATGCTAAACAAAAGGCCAGTAACGTGTGTTAACATAAAGATTTTTGGTACACATTATATTTAAGGTGTCTAGTATTAATACATGAATTCACAATGATTCAGTTTTGCTGAGTGTGGTCATAGAATAGAGTAAACATGATGATGGTCACAACAGTGCATTTAGGTTTACATATAAATCCAGTAGCAGTTGTTAGTGAAGGCTGCAGTAAAATGTTGCACTAAATTCAAATGTTACAAATAAGTTACAATATTGATGTTGTAATACTAGTAGCACTAATGTAACAGTTTTATGATATATGTTACAATAAAGTAACAATTTTGAAATACGTTGATGGTCTTTTATCTCAGTATTCATATCAGTGTTGTATAAGGGGTTTTTATGCATAATACTAACCCTAGAATGTGAGGAAACAGTTTAGAATAGCTGGGCTGAGATATATAAAAATTCTGATGACTGCAGAATTATGTTAATTAAGTATACACATTAATTGTGACCACACACTTTAAAATTTTCAAAAAATGATTATTGATTATTTCAAAGGGCTAGTAAAATTTGGGATTAAACAGGTTAAGTGCACTTTCTATTGTTAGAGTTTTTATTGTGAGCACACTGCATGCACTAAATGTTTTCTGTGTTCGTTTCAGAGGTGAAAGAGGAAAGTCACGAGCTGAATGAAGTGGAGGAGGAACCTCGTGCAATCTTAAGTAGCTCAGACACTGAAAATAAAAGCACGCAGAAAACAGCGCTCATCTGTTCTCACTGCGGAAAGAGTTTTAGACAGAGAGGTCACCTTGACGATCACATAAGGACTCATACCGGAGAGAAGCCTTACGCGTGCCTTCACTGCGGGAAGAGCTTCACGCATAAAGGAAACCTTAAGGATCACATGAGGATTCACTCGGGAGAGAGACGGTTCGCGTGTCAGCACTGCGGGAAGAGGTTCACGCATAAAGCCAACCTCACGGATCACATCCGGATCCACACGGGAGAGAAGCCGTTCTCCTGCGATCAGTGCGGGAAGAGCTTCACACACGCCACGAGTCTGAAGACTCACCTGCTGTCTCACTCCGGAGAGCGGCCCTTTAGCTGCGATCAGTGCGGACACAAATTCATTCTAGCGGCGCACCTGAAGAGACACCTGAGGATCCACACCAACGAGAGGCCCTACGTGTGCTCCTTCTGCGGGAAGAGCTTCTTGTGGCTCTGCTATTTTAAAGACCACCAGAAGAAGCACACGGGCGTGAAAGCTCACGTGTGCTCCGAGTGCGGCAGCGCCTTCACGAGAGCCAGCGAGCTGAGGATGCACCAGAGGACCCACACCGGAGAAAAACCCTACACCTGCTCGTGCTGCGGAAAGAGCTTCGCCGAGTCCGGAAACCTGAAGAAACACGAGCGCGTTCACACCGGAGAGAAGCCCTACCAGTGTCCCTCGTGTGGAGGCAGTTTCAGTCAGTTCAGCCATTTGCTGAGACATTTAAAGCAGCAGAGCTGTCCGAAGCTGACGCAGTTCTTCTTCAGGCCTCCGGATGAACAGAGCTCGTCCTCAGGTGCAACACTGCCGATTGAATCAAAGGTGGAATTTCTGCCAGAATAACAGTGCGGACGGGGATATTTATTGTGATATTGTGAGAAGACTTAAGGTACACTACCATTCAAAAGTTTGAAATCAGAATGTTTTTACAGGAGTTTCTTCTGCTCATCAAGGCTGCATTTATTAATTCAAAAATACAGGAAAAAATGTAATATTGTGAAATAATATTACGTTTTAATATACATTAAAATCTGTATTTTCAGCATCATTACTGCAGTCTTCAGTGTCACATGATCTTCAGAAATCATTCTATATGCTGATTTATTATCAGTGTTGAAACTGTTGCTGCTTCATATTTTTTTGGAAGCTGTGATACTTTTTTCAGGATTTTTTGATGAATAAAAAGTTAAAAAGCATTTATTTAAAATAGATTTTTTCTAACAATATACACTACCGTTCAAAAGTTTGGGGTAAGTACATTTTTATTCTTTCTTTGTTTTGAAAGAAATTCAAACTTTTATTCAGCAAGGACGTGTTAAATTGTTAAGAAGTGATAGCAAAGATTTATATTGTTAGAAAAGATTTATATTTTGAATAAATGCTATTCTTTTTAACTTTTTATTCATCAAAGAATCC